TTTTAGCATTCTAATCTGCCATGCGCCTGGATCGTCGGGGAAGGAAAATCGTCGCTTCAGCCTGAACGTGCATTCGTGGGGTTGTAATTTAAATCGCGGGGTTGCGTGAGGGAATCTAATAAGAGCTCCCCGCATACTTTGCCACCAAGCTGATTTTGTGATAAAACTTGCTTGTCAAGTTAGTCCCCTACTCACTTGTTTAATTGCTGGTAACATTTCGGCTCCGCACGATGTGATAGATTGACTGCTCTGCCAGCACTGTTTTTTCCTCCCTAATTACCACCTAGTTGTGAAGGCCCTTTCCTGACACACGTAATGGGGAGGCAGAGGGAAAACGGGTTTGCTTACTTTTAAAATCTATTTGTATCATTCAGCAATTATTTCCCATATATTTAATTTAAACCATGTGCCTCCCCCCCCAATCTCGCTTGTTCAGCCTTAAGACACGAATGTTGAGAAGTCACTGAAGCAGCTAATACCCCTATTTGCGCTGAATGTTTAGAGAAACTTTACATTTCCTCTTCAAGGCCAGGGGTTGCAAAATAAGTTATTTACACACTGCAGAAGAAATGCTCCTCGGGTAAGTGAGAGCTGACAATGATGGTTTTTCGTTTCAAACAATCCCGAATCCCTCGTTGGCTCACACGTGCTAAAGTGCTAGGCAAATGTTTAGCTGACATAATGCAAACGATCGGCCGTAGATTTATTTGACAAACAGTTGAGCAGACAGCCCTATACAGCAATCTCGTACCCCACACAACCCCGCTGGAACCAGGAGGATTTTGCTGGCATGGACGAGAGCAGCATTGGACCCAAAGAGCGCGGTTCGCACGCTGAGCCCCTCATTTCTGGCCACTAGCCAGCCTGCCAACCACATTTAAATAAGCCACCTGCTGAGTGGGGAGTTTAAAGAGCTAAGTGCTCGGGAGAGCTTGAGCTGAAAAGTATATTGAACTTCTGCAAGAAGGCGTGAAGTGACAGGATTTCAGCGACAAGGAGTACGAGAGGCCATATCGTGGTCCTGACCTCAGGTTCTAGGGCACACACGGTGCTCAGGCTGCTCCCCTACCTTACCAATGCTTTCAAAAATGCACAAGGGAGAAGCTCTGCCCAGAGACCACCATTAAACACGTCCCAAGAAGTGAGCTATACACAGCAGACACTCATATTTATTTTCCTTGACATACCTAATAGTGCTACAGAACAGGAACACTTATGCAGAACACATCATTTCCCTCTGTTTAAATATTGTTGTGATTTTATTAAGAACAGGGTCAGCAGCATGAGGGGCAGAAGTCCTTTCCCACAGCGATCACCTTGCCACCAAGCCTTGTCTAAGGCACCTCGTGATCCCTCCCCACTCGCTTCCCAGCTCCTTGCAGACATTAACCGAGTTGTCTTTAAGCACCTAGACGTTGAAACGAGACTTCACTCTTTCCACTGCTGATTATGTGTGAAAAAAATAACATCTTTCTGTTATTACCAATCTGGCGACAAAAATTTCCCCAAAGAGGGAGACTGAAGGAAGTGACAGAAAGGCAAGCAATTCTGCCGCGCCAGTCTGTAACAACAGCAGATTGCAGGAGTGTTATTTGGCTCTTTCTTAGCCCCAAATTGTTCAAATCAAATCTACCCAAGTTATAGCTGCACAGACCACTGGGAGAGAGGCTCGCTCAGCAGCAGCCCCTCCAGCAGTCAGGCTCTCCAACCAGATTGCTTCTCCTCTGAACTTCAGACGAGCACACCTGATGCATTGCAGCCACCTCGGTAATCCAGGCACACAGCCACACTCGTTCCTCATTTACGCTGCTACTGTTTAACTTTTCTCCTTCTCTTTGTTCAGAAAGCCCTGATACCAGTGGAAAGCAGCAGCTGATTTTTTATTTCTTTACCCTCAAACTGTCACACGAGTGCCTTCTGACTTTGGTGGCGACCCAGAGGTTGCGATGTCAAGTTCAGCAGCTGATTCACAGGCCATTACTCACACGACTGCCATTCCCCTTTTAACCTCCCCAGCCTGTGTTTAAAAACCAAATACCCCCTCAGCTATCTTGCCAAGGAACACTTTAAGAACTTAATTCAAATAAAAAGAGGTTATTTTTGACGTGGAAGAGCTGTTATTTAGATATAGGAGAACACAAGTAAATTTACTGGCAAACGCCTCGAACCCTCACTCATTACAGCCTAACACGGCAGCCCTGTGCCACCTAGGGGTTAATGATGAGCCAACAAAAAAGATGCAGCTGAGCAATCTCTTCAATATTGCAGCAATGTATTTGCTACAGTAGGTCCTCCTGTTCCAAGGGGGCTCTGCAGGCATGGTCCAGGAGCGATTTGCACATGCACATCAGGTCACGGTATTTCTGGTCACATCTCAGCCCATGCCCCGACGGTGGGAAGGACGTGCCCATTGCTGTCTGCCAGCTGGGATTTGTCATGTGCTTAACAGACAGAACAACCAAGGTCAGCAGTGGGCTGCTTTACCATAACACTTGGAGCCTCAGGAGGTTCCAGAGACTATGAAAGTAACCTGTGAGGCTGTGCTGTTTGTGCGCACACACCTTGTGCAGCACTGCCCTGTAAATCCACATGCACACCCAGCACCTGCCCTGCCCTTAGCTCCCTCTTGCTGCAATCACAGAAGTACACCAAAGCACAACCTACAAAACAGAGGTCTGAGTATGAAATGTCCATGTGTCTCTGTGTTTGGCTCAAAATCATATTTCAGCCTGTTAGAACTGCAGGAATTTCAATTCAGGCTTTGAGTTCATTTTTTCTCTAACACCACATTCCCAAACCCTCGCACACATACACACACCTGCCCCTTGTCCAAAAGCTTTCTTTTTCATACATACATATATATACATGTATATATATATGTATATTTAAGCTATCCTTTCTATGCAAGGAAATCTGTCTCTGTCTCTTCCTAGTCATGTCCCTATTACAGAAGATCTTGTTCCAATAAATGATTGGTACACGCAGAATGCATTAAAATGAATTATAATGGCAATCCGATCCCCAGTGCCTTGGCAGAACCTTTCTATCACGGGTGACAGCTGGTTCCCTTGGGCTTAGCTCTGGAGAGAGAGTGCCAGACCTCAAAACTTAATCCACTAACTTTGTACAAACCTGACCAAGTACAAGGAGTGTTCAGTTTTTCCCCTGCCCCTGCACTACTGAAGGCATACCTCAAAGGCTGTTCAACAAGCTGGCATATGCAACTTCATCTCAAATAAATGTAAATGCATTTTTCCATATATTATGTGATTACAGCCTCTCTCTGCCTATGGTGCTATGTTTTATTACAGGCCACCAGAAATAATTAGCTGGTGACCCAGAAAACTGATATATAAAATCCTTTTAATCACCAATATGGCTTTCAATTATATAGTGTAAACTTATTAACCTTTTTACTGCTGAGATTTGATTTATGGAATTCCAGCTGCATTAACATTACAGGAGGAGATAGAAAGTGTCTTATATGCCACGTTGGGATTAACAACTGATAGCTGGCTTTGCCATCACAGAGTCTCACAGAGCAAAGGCAGCATCCTGCAAGTCCCCAGGGGCTCATTTCCATCACAGCTACGTTAAAAGTTTGGTCTGTGGAGTGAGGGTGTGTAATTTCTGTCACTTCGTATACAAACCTGAACACACAGGCCAGTTACAGCTTTCAGATAGAGCAGGGGCTGTGTGAGCACTGGCTGCATTCAAAAACAGTAAGAGCAAAGATACGGCTGCTTTTGTACCGCTCCTTACTCGCAGCATCAGAAATACTTTTATACTGAATTTGGTGAAATCTGCTGCACGGGAATGCTAAACAGCCACTTTATTCAAACAAAAGTTGCATACAGAGGGAAGAGCTGCTTGTTTGTAGAAGACAATTTTCAGATGTGTTCTCCTTTCATTTTTACTAGTCAGGTACTTCCCCTCTTTATCTGTAGTGGATTTTTTTTCTGGAAACCAGACAGTTCCCAGCAATTTATGGATCGGTCTAAGAGGAATTGTTCACTTCCACCTAGTACTGAAACAGCAGTTGGTGCTTTGTTCAGTCTTAGGCATTCCTGGTTATCTTCCTATGGGGCTGTGTTCCTAGAGATAACGCGGAGATCAACAGGAGAGACAGAGAGGTCTCAGTAAAGCCCTGCTAATTAAAAAAACAAATTGCTAATCTGAGCTAGATGATGCATCAAGATCCAATAAAAGATACAGACACCCAAAAGCTAAACGCTATACTCTGTCATACCAGACCTGATTGATTCAGCCAAGGATGGGAAGCCAGGTATTTGTAGCCCACACATGTGATTTCATACAAGCTTCAAAAATATACAGAGAAATAACGGATCTTGCCATAACTTCTGTTAGCAGCTCCCCTCCTATTTCTTGGTGGCTCGTTAGTTCTTGTTTAATGACAATAGAATAGAATAGCAATGTTCTGTAAGATCATTTCTGCTGTGAACATCTAATTACCTCTTATAGTCCCAGCAGGACTAAAAATTAATAGATTTGAGTAAAATTTTGCACATAAATACCAGTTTTCAATTTTCAAGTCTTACCCTTTTTCAGTCTTAAGAAGTATTTTACAGTTAATCTACCTTTCAGGAATTTTTAATGCACAAACACCCCCAAATGGCATAAAACAGCAAGGTGAAATAACCAACATTCCACACAAACTGGGGGGAAGTCATCGTTCACATGGGTTTTTTGTTCTTCAAACCTGAAAAGCTTAGAAAGCCCAGGAGAGGCTCTTTGGGTAGGTGCTTTGACAGCCTGCAAAACAGCCATCATCTTTGTAGAAGGGAAACACCAATATTTGCCATCATCTTTCTGAGAATTAAACGTTGACGAATAAGACACAACTTCCCCAACAGGCAACCCAGTCCCCTTTGAGCAGTGTTCAGGTCACCATTTCAGTAGATTTTCACCTTTGCAGAAGCATTTCACTCCAACCCACACACTGGGCAAAGACCCCCAGATTCAGACTGCCTGGCTCATACCTGGACATCCAGCAGGTGTATGCCAAGGTCAGCTCTGACGTCTCCTTCACAAGGCACAATTCTGTGTGCAGCAGGACAGCACACGCCACCGCCATCCAACCCACGCCGCCTCCTCCGAGTGCTAATAAGGCCCAGGGACAGCAAGATTTTAAGCGTATTCTGTGAAACAAGGAGAATAAAAATCAATGACACTACATAATCCAGTCAGTGCCTTCCTTTGCTCACAAATCTTCATTTGTTCAGCTGAGAAAATTATGAACTGTCTCATTCTAATACAGTAAAGGCGGTCAATGACAATTACTGCACAAGGAGTGATAGAGATGGTGCTACGATTCTGGGATATTCCCTTCTCCTGAAGCCCATTTATAATTTTTAATAAAAACGGTAACGCTTTATGATAAGTGGACATCATTTAATGCTCAATTACTACGAAATTCCTTGGGAAATATATATTAAATGCAGCAGCTCTGTATTCATACCAGGAAGGCTCCTTGAGATTGATGTTATCGCAGCAAATACTAGGGGAATGTCAAGTCCAACATTCAATATTCTCACCCTCTAGGTCAGGTATCCTTTCTTCCCCCACCCTGACATTTGAGACGAGTCCTTATCTACTCAGAGAAGAGCCCCATGAATTACATATGTGCTGCATTTAAAAAAAATAATAATTTTACAACACAGACCAGCAAGGGCTTCAGCAGTAATTAACTGAGACACATCTGAGTAACACAGAAGGGTACAGCTCCTGAACGGACACCTTGCACTTGAAGGCCAACAGGTTTCTAAACCCTTACATTTATAAAGGAAGCATTACTACAGAGAAAATATAAAACCTTTACAGCAGAACTTACCAAAGGTTTCTCTTAGCAAGAAAAATATCCTAAGCTTTGTCTTCCATGTGAAGAGAGAGTTACACCATCACTTCCTTTGTTCTACCTTACCACCAGAGTTCACTGCAAACACCTGAGCCCTCAGCCTTGATGAGCCCAGGTGGGATCCCTCACCCTGCACAGCATGGCAGAACCTCCCCCATCCCCTCCAGCTGCCTGTAGTTATGCTTTTGGCCACAGATGTCAGTGCTGTGAATCACCACGGCTCTCTCCTGGCAGGTTGAGGGAAAACTTGTTTGTCCCGGAGGTATTTGGGAGGGAACATAAGGGGATGTGATCAGTGAAGCAGCAAATTGAACCCTAGCAATGGATGGCCAGACCTTGCTGCAGAAGCCTTAACCCAGAGGCTCCCATGCTTTGTTCAGCCACAATCTCTGGTAGCAGCTGAAACAACAAAAATGGCTGGACTTGGTTTGGGAGGTGCTTTAGGGAAGCTGAATCCGACGTTATCCTTTCTCCCTAGATGTATCCACAGCCAGGGTTGTTTTATGAATGCAGTCCTTAACTCTCAACATAAAATCTGTCGCCTGAGGGTGGTAGGTGGCTACCTGGCCTCTGTGGGAACAGGGTGCTGCCACTCGGGTGCTGCCCCGCTCACCCCGCGGTGAAGCCTGACAAGATTAGATGAGACGTGAAAGACGCAGGTGTCAGGCACAGGTCGCAGGAGCCTTCGGTTTGCAACACTGCTAGGATCCTGAGACAAATGTAAAGGAGCACATCTCTTCCCAGGTAATAAATACCATCAGCAGCTACTTAGCAACTTAGGAAACAGCAACAGTGTTTGGAGGAAGGGGGGCGTCCTGAGTGCTCTGCTAGAACATCCTTCCATTTCACCTTAAATCATATTTTGCATCTTCTGCTGTAATGCTATTTATCCCAGACCTCCGGGCAGCTTAGACACCTGGCATAATAGCCCATTAATTACTTCAGCATGGGAAATAAATTTTAATATCCTTCTCTTTGCTGCTAATTACTAACCACTTCACACATCCATACGCTGATTCTCCAACTGCTTCTTCAGTACCTCAAGCAAATACCCACATCAGTGGTTCATCCTTCTTCCTTTTAGATACAACAGGCTTTATTTTACAGTCTGACTTTGATGCTTCCCTCAGTTCTGGGTGGCACACAATCGTGTTTACACCCTCAGCCAGGGTCAGCGGTTCGTTTAGGGACTCGGGATAAGGTGTTCATATTTTGCTGCACTCGTGTTCTCATCCTGTTAAAGGTGATTACAACATCAAGTTTTGTCCAGTGCTTCAGTCTCTGAAGATGAAAGATGTTATGAGGTATAATGGTGGTAGGTCAGCACTTTCAATAAGCATCCATCTGTAAACACGTCCCTTGAAATACTGCAGCAGTGGGAAAGGAAGCTGCATCCTAATTGGGTATCGTGGAAAGCCATAGGGCTTATAAATATAATGTGTGGGTTATCTGTCTTGCCAAAAAAAAGGAGGTTTGTTATATGAAGGACACATTATACTTTTCTCTTCCTATGATTCAGCATGGTAAGTAGTCATTCCTAATTGGCTTACAGCTTAGTATGAAATATTAGGATGCCACACAATGTGATGACACAGCTGGATTCCTAAGGGAAGCCAAAGGGTGATCTGAGAACGGAAGAGGGACAAGAGCAGATGCAGATCTGGAAAAAAAAAATAGTTGTAGCTTACAGAGTAGCATGTCATTCTTTATCCTCCTCCACCCGCGTACAGCATGCTGCGTACAGCACAGTGCTCTCCCAGTAGAAAAGCAGACTTGTCATTTCAGAGTTCTTAAATAAAACGTGGGGGAAAAATGGGATTGCTGGGCGTATTGGAACAGGAAGAGGCAGGCAGGCTGAATAAATCTGGCCAATAGCTGCCTCATCATGAAAAAATATACCGCACAAATTTCATCTCTTTGTGCACCGAATGATGATTTCCTCGAATTTATTCTTGACTGAAAAGTACTTGCCAAATTACCTATTCAAACAGTCCGTGGGTCACTCGCAGAAGTTTGGCATTCAGGAGACGAGCAGTTTGACTAGGCACCCAGGTCGGCTGCTGGGGGCTTGATTCCTGGTGCTGGCCTCGATTCAGGAAGGTAATTAAACAGCTGCCCACCTGAAGTCAATAGGGCTATTCACATGAACTTAAGTGCTGCAGACACCAGGCTGAGGGGAATAGGCTTCTCAGGGGGAGATTTTTGCTGCAAATACTAGTGCTAATTCAAAATTCACTTTCTACAAAGTCCTCCTGCAGTCAGCTGAAATTAGCTATATCCACTGTTGTGCCTGCCAGGAAACTTGATAGAATATTGCCCAAAGTGAACATAAAGGAGAAATAAACACAGCAGAAATTAATAACAGGAGTTCAGACCAGTAGGTTGCAGAAGATGTGTTATAAATTTCATCCAGCTGTAATGCAAATTCTGCCAAATGAGTGGGAACATCTCCCTTTTTATATCACTGTCTCACTACATATTAATAGCAACCAGTTACTGATGCGGTACTAAAATATTAATGATATGGTCATAAACCTGAATCAGTGCCTAACTTGGCAGAACAACGTAGGGTGACTTTTCAATCACGTGCAAACAAAACCAGTTTTCAGAAACCATTTTGTTACTCTGAGACCATGTGAGCAGAAGTAATTGCATGGCTATTTTAGGCACAGAAATTGTTAGCCTTCCTTGGAAAATCAACAGCCCCATCGAGGTGTACAGTACGGATGCCCAGATATTCATGCAAGGCTGAGAGAATGGCAAACCAGGCAGAAACAAATTTCATGCAATTAATTAGTAAGATTTCATCTGTGATTTCATCCGCAGCTGGTATTAGTGACTTTTATACGTACATTAAAGGGAATAGCCTCAAGCCCCCAGGGACTGATTGTTTCAGCAGGATTTAGCTCTTTGTTCTGGACTGAGCTGGAATATGCTTCCTGAGCAATGCAAGACATCCAAAGCAAAACCCAGAGTGTTTGCACTTGCCTGGGATAAGAGCAGATATCGGCTTTGTATTGGGCCATCTTTGAACACTACAGAAATTTGGGTATGTTAAGCAGATTTTAAAGAGGTTTCCCTTTCTATGGCACCTTCTATATTTTCCAGTCCACTACCCAAGCTGCTCTGCTCAGGATGGGGAAGCAGCCAGCTAAACAAGGCAGTTTTGGGGATACTTGATGGGATCTGTAAAAAAGAAACCTGTTTTGACATCCCCTTGCCTTTCACTTTACCTGTCTTCCAGTGGAACTGGGCTGGCCCCCTTTATTATTCACATTTGTCCCTTTCTGTGAACATGGAGCCATATATCTGTATCTTTCAAACACCTTTAATTGCAGTCACAAATTAAGGCAAGGAAGGACAAGCACAGAAGGACTCTGTGTACAATTCCCAGTAGCCGCTAGCACCCTGGGAACAGCCTGTCCTGATCAAAGGTGCTAGAAAACTGACAAAATATTTTATTTATGCATTTCCACAGGGCACAGCTAATGGCTCACTTCCTCTGCCCGGTCACAAGAGGCACTGGAGGATACTTACATAGCCAACATTTTATGGTGGTGTAGCACATGAAGCCAAAGTCTTTGCTTTAAAGGTCTTTCACTGCTTCTTCTCAGAGGCATCAGTGCAGAAGTAAGCTGATTTTGGTCATGACTAACAGAATTTGCAGAGAATGGCATGAAATTCATTATGTCACAAAAAAGAAAGGCCTTTTCCTTTTAGATTTCTATTGCCATCACATAAATGAGGGCCCAAAATACCACCAAGACATCACTTAACGTGTTGTTGGTCTCTGGGAGGCAGGTCTGACCAGTGAGACAACGTCGTTATTATTTGCTGACCAGAGCTGCTGCAGCCACGTAGAGCCATGATAATCTTTCTTCATTATATCTGCAAGTAGATGTCATCAAGGTGTGAGTGACAATCATCCCTTTCAGAGTGAGTGATCATAGGTTTTCCAGTGCTCTCAGATCCACTGGCTCCTTGTTTATTAATGACACAGCTGAAATTGTAGCGTTGCTTCTGCTCAGGTGGGAGACGGCAGACTTTTACCTGATTGACACCCGTCATTACTAAGTTTTCTCAAACAACTGAAGTGGTAAATAATGCAGTCTTACTGCAAACCGAGTTGCTGAGCAAAGAAACGGCTGTGGTTTACAGGTTACCGGAGCAGGAGAAAAAAAAACATGTTTTGAAGCTTCTAGTGAAGCATTAGAACTGCTGAGAGCAGTGGGAGAACCTCTAGGCAGCATTCAGTGCTGATCTCAAATAACCAGCTTCCAGCTCCTAACACAGTGCGTGGCAATTGTAGTATTTCACAGCTCCTTCCCACAACAAAACAACCAGCATTAGCGGAGCACCGGGAAGACAATTATACCTCCAAACATAGCTACTCCTTGGACAAAGTCCATGGCCTGCACTGGCACCATGATAAATTTGCATCTTACAACTGTAAAGAGCAGCTCCCACAACATCTCCCACATCTAAAGCCTACTCCAAAAAATAAAATGAAATTCTCTCTTGGAAGAAGACAAGTCAAACATAACTCATTCCTTTATTCTTTTTCTCTCTTACCATGCTGTACAGATGATTGTTTCATCTCATTCTTCTGTTTCCAAGAAAGATTTTCTAAATCCTCAGGCAATATTCAGAGCAGGCAGATTTTTCTTTGAGTGTTCAAGGCTGATCTGATCAATTAAAAAAACGAAGGTTACAGTATATTTTAAACCAAATACCCCATAGTATACGATCTCTGAGGTCATTTTATAAGAAAAAATATTTTTTGTCAGCAAGTAAATGCAAAAAAAAAAAAAAAAGGTAATGGGGATTCAGCACAACCTCCTTTCTCATGTGTCCTGTGGGATTTCCAGCATTGTTCCCTCTGTTAAAATGGTTTAAAATGCAAGGGTAAGGCTGCTGAGGTCCTGAACATGCGAGTTTTGTTCTCTGGATGGAAACTAAGTGTTGCAAATCACACAGAATTCTTCCAAGGTGTTTTGCCTCCCCACATTTATCTCCATTTTCCCTCACGAAAGCTACGAATCCTCCCCAGCCCCAGACTTCCTCCCAGCATGTGATGCACAACAGGGCCCCACAACCTTATCTGAAGCTTTTTGGGCCCAGCTGCAATGTAAACTTTCTGCACTACTGTGACTCCCTTACAGGGTTTTGAGTCTCTCTTTGCAATAGGAAATTTCCAGTGAAGTACAACTGCTTCCACGAGGTGAGTGTTCCCTAAGGCCTCGGGAATCAGAGCTGACATAACGTGAAATTTGCTTCCCCCTTTACCAACTCTGGCTAAATAAACTCATCTTCTGTACAGTAGGACACACTTCATTTTCCTGTCCTTCATTTTCTTCTCCCTCTTGTTGATTCCAAAAGGAGACCACATAGACCAACCATCACAGCCAATTTGATTTCCAATTTTCTGGGCAGCTTTGCAATCACACTCCATTTGTCACCTGAATGCAGTATCGAATTTGCAGCCTGGGTGTGAATGACTTCTGGAATTATCTCCCCTGGACAAGACACCAAAGCAATTCAAAAGCAAGTAAACAGAATGCAGAAATACCCCTGAATAGGATTACTCAGGTTTCTAAATCCTAATCCTGTTACTTCAGCAGCTATCCATTTCTCTTTTCCTTCTTCCCTTCTGGCTAATATTTTCCTGCCCAGAACTCAGCTCAGTACTGCCACAACAATCTGATATATTCTGTAAAGTTTCTAGGGCTGCAGGAACATTTAAAGCTCGGCAAGCTCTACCGTAACACCAAAATACGTTCTTGACAGCCACTGACCCCAAAAGCTGATGTGATCAAATGCATCCCCCCATGAAAGAAAGAATAAGACCATAATCAGTTTTACCATTTTAAGGAAAATAAATCCTAATCCTTTGCCTTTCTGTGGTATTCCTCTAATTGCTGTTTCCTTACACATTCAAACATCCACAATTCGGTCCCGTTGTTTGAATGTCACTTGGAATCAAATCAGTGTTGCGGATACAACGTCTTTGAACCTTTTAGTCCAGCTGTGAACTTTGGGCTTAATCCTTTAGGGCGTCCTTGTCTGGCAAGCTTTAATGTATATTAAATTTTCTAAAAGGAGAGCGAAAGTGGTCAAAGCAAGCTAGTGCAAGATTCTGTGTTTCATAAATTAATAAGCATCACCAACTGCATTGCTTGACCCTTTCAACTCTGTGAAATTAATATAAGTAGACAACCAAAGTGCACTCGGCCCCTGAAGAGCCTTGGAAGTTCACTTAAGCAATCCAAGTTTCCTTAAAGTTTTATAAGCCAGCTTTTAAAGCGAGTCCTTTGTACTTATTACTGGTGACAGTGAGCATTACAACAGCCAATGAACCTTTGCTGACTTCCGACCCCAATATGGTAGAGCACAGTTATCAAGGGAAATATCAGAATCAGAGCTTGTATATTACATTGAGGTCCTGACTCTTGAAAGAGCCCCCTGTAGACTCTTCAGAGTATGTCAGTGAAATAAACAGCTAATATTCTGAGACATCTACTTATGATGTACTGATATTATTGTTTACTTAAGCGCTTTTGGCATAGTAAACCCCCACCCCCACCAAAAGGTGAAGCCTCTTAAGAGGAAAGCTGTGGCACTCCCCGTCCCCTTGCAGGAAGACAATATTTTAAGATCTTTTATTTAGCCCGGAAAAACACCCCGCTTGGTGGTGGCGAGTCAAGCAACACTAAGTCTTCATCTTAAGCGATTAATGGGTTTAAATTATTAACTGGCATTAGGTAGGCACGGTGAGGAATACATGGTCTTCTCTTAGCCCTCTGCGCGGGGTGAGGCTGCCTTGAACAATGAGGGAAATGTGTATCCACACCTACTGCGCCTTGGCATTAATTTTGCAGTCACTTGTAATACTTGAGTTAGCATCCTGTAGAAATAAGATATCTCACCCTTGCCAGCTGATTATATTTTTCATAATGTAAAAGGTTCTTGCTGAATTATTCAGGTGTTTTTCCCAGTGCTTCAAAAAAAAAAAAAAAAAAGGGAAAGAAAAGAAAAAAAAGGAGAGAGACAGACAGAAAAGCTAAGGCAGGCTCTTCATAGGTATCTAGGAATAAACAGGCTGACATGCAGCTGTGCCCAGTATTAATAATCATTATTGGCCTGTAAAGCCCAATTAATGACAATGCTTAAAGTATTTTTTTCTGAAAGGCAAGTTGAATTTCTAAAACCAGGCGGGTGATGAGAAATCTCAGAGATTATCCACTGAAGGACATTGAACTCCTGCAGGTATTCCCCCCCGAGCAGTGAAGTCAGGGAGGGCAGGTGTTGTCTGTTCTCTCAAGCTATTTAGAAATTTGGGTGAAGCTTTTGGGGATATTTTGTGACACTGGGTTCCATTTGTTCAACTCATTTGTCTGCCTAGATCTAGACACCGACAGAGACAACAATATCATTGCATGGAGAAAATAAATACTTAAACAGAACATACGCACTTTATACATATGCCATAACCAATCATACACGAGAAATTAAACCCGCATAGGAAGCAGAAGTCAACTCGCAGGAAAATAACTGCTGAAATTTCTTACCAGAAACACAGAGAGCAAGAAGAAGCTGGAAAAATGAGGTACTTTTGATGAACGTGGCTCACAGATTCTGTGCAAAATGAACATTAACGGGGAGAGGCTGGTGGCAGGGTTGCAGTCCCTGCTAGGCAAATGCTTCCTTAAGAGCAGCAAAGTTCATTTAGCAACTTCCTGATTATTAAATATAAATTGGACCATAACTGAACCTTGAAATATTTTGAGTCTATTCTGAAGCGTCTTGTTCCAATTATTGTTTCTGTGAGTGTAATCAGGTAATGATTTTTGAAGATGGAATCACATGGTTTGGTCATTATTGATAATGCAGCTAATTCCAATTGGTTTCCTTATACCCGTTGCCACCTACAGTTACATTAGTTATTCAACTGAATGGCCTGATACTGAAGGGAAATGGCCTATATTCAAACGAATCCCATGCGCTGGGTGGCCAAGTAGTTTAACGGGCCACCCTAGAGCAGCATAAGCAGACAAATAACAAAATTTTTTGCATAAGAGAAAATGATTTCTACATTTAGGACTGCTTCATTTGAAAACCAGGCACTGACAGGCCTGCTGGTTGCTGCCTTTTCTCAGAGCTAATACTCTTGTTGCTTGCAAGCAGATCACCAGCTGGTACCAGGAGGAAATATCCATCAAGGCACAGAACGGGGCATTTTTTAAAGGAGGTGACAAAAGAGGTCTGTGTTCCCTTCCAAGGAGTGAAAGCCAACTTTGTAAATCCTGGTTTCTGGTTTTCTACCTGAACTTCTGAAGAAGGCTCTGGTAAATGCTCAGTTAGAACTGGTAAAATAGACTCTGCATAAGCAACAAAGACTTTAGCTCCTTATTAGCTCTCTTCTCAAGAGAACCATCTGTGTAACCCTACCTGCAGTGGAAGCCAGACACATCTCTCCCAGCTAGGAAGCTGCCTCCCTTGGAGCAGGTCAGTGTTGGAGAACCTACAGGAGTTTGGAGATAGGTCATTAATTTGTTTTCCACCTTTCCTCAGAAGATTTCCAGGCTTACAGAGCTGACGAATGAGTACTGTCTGTGTAGATCCCGTATTCACCCAGGCCTTGGACCCATCTTTGTCTTTTGGCTCCCTGGATCAGAAAAGATTTCTGGGTCTGGGGGATCCCAGAACTGCCATCCCACTCACTCAGGTCTTCTGCAGAGCACGTCTCGTTAGCTCGCTGGAAAGGAAAAGCCCCTTTTATCAAATCCCCTGGGGCTAACACATATCGAAAATAATCTGTTCTTAGCACTATTCGAGGCAGGCTTTCAAGTGATGAATGAAGAAGAACATTCTCTGTCGCAGAGTTTCCTTTGTTTTTCGAGTCCTCAGAGTGAGTTTGTGATCTCTGAAATCCCGGTACTAAGAGCACTGTCACTTTCCACTGAACTTGCCACTGTTTTCTTACGCAGAAGGCTGAATGTCTTGAAAAAGAAAAGTACACATTCATTTGTTATCCTGGAAATACATGTTCAGGGTATTTCCCTAACTACGGTAATTAACTTGGGCTCCAGAGCTACATTTTCTTTCTCTGGACAGCATCTAGTACCAAATGCTGCAACCCTGACTGTCCATGAACACTTCAGCCACATGAACAACTTTATAATAATGTGAAATAGCCAAGGTATGCCTGCTTTCATGCACCGGTTTTCAGTCCGTGTTCGTACATGTTCTCTTTGAAATGTGTGTTCTTGTTTTTTTTCTTTTTCATTTTTATTTTTAACTTTTCTAAAGTTTTGGGGTGCTTCTGTTTCTTTTTTTGTAAATTTTCAGCTGGATTTCATTATCTCTTGGGAAGAACAGAGATGAAATGTAATTAAAATGTTTATAGTTTCCAGTTTCACGGCAACTTTTCCTAAATACAAACAATTAAATAAATAAAAGGGAAACACAAAAATAGGCTTTGATCCAGTGCTCAAAAATTTCAGTGGCTAAAGAATGGTAGTGTGTTATTAACGGCTACAACGGTGTTTAACCAGAAGCTGGTACAATTTTTATGAAACAGCAAACCCTTTTCTGACTATTTTATCAGTGACGCTTATTAAAAGAAAAATCTAATAAATGAAAAGGAAAAATGCTCTAGTGAGACTAACAATTAAAGCTACAAATA